TATGAGGGGGGGGGTATTTTGACGGCGGTCGAGGGTGTAACTTATGGCGCAACCAATGTAGGAACCAATTATTTGCTCGGCGGTCGTGGGCGCAACCTATGACACAACCTGCGAGGCGACGAGAACTCTTTAATACTGACCCGTTCTTGAGGATCGAATGCCCTGAGGGGATGAAGGCCCCAATGAATATCCAGAGGGCCCAAGCGTGACGACTCGAGCCGCCCCGTCCTCCATTCCGTAGCCAATTTGGCCTTGCATTTTTGTTATTTTGGGCACGGTCTTGATACCCAATCATCCCAATATGGACGCTGCTGCAGCTTTGGAAGCGACGTTCCCTTTCCGAAAGCTCATCCTCACAGACCTAGAGGAGCAACCAGCCCCACACTCGTCAGACGACGATGACACAAAACGGCTCCACCTTGACAAGTGCAAAATCACAAAAACGCTGTGCGACCTCGGGGCCCGAGGCCCGTTCTTCAATGTATCAGGGTTCAAAAGCGATCAGCTCAAGTCGATCGACCAGCTAGGCCACCCGCTTGCATTAGCATTCTGGGGATCCCCACACTGGGGAACTGTGGAAGATGGCTGCAGCAATAAATTTCGGAACAGTGCGGAGTTCAAGACAAACGCATTTGAATCGCTATCATGGCTGTGCCCACAAGGATTCATCGTGATGACTTTCAGTGAGAAGTACAAAACAGAATTTTGGGGGCCAACTTTCAACCGTACTAAAGATGTGGATCATCGTTGCAGCCGGGAGCTCAGGGTCGTAGAAGGATTTTTCAGACAATATTCACCAGAGGCATCGGGCTCAAAGTTCTGCCAAATTAGTGCACACACGAAGACCATGGTGGGAATGTTGGTTCCGTACCGTTTTCGGGACGCTGTTACATATCGTGGTGAGAAGTGCGACATTGGAGTTACCATGTACAAGGTATTGCAACAAATATCTGATGGGCCAGAGTACGCAGTAGAGGTTGGTGGGCAATCCTTCAAGCTGGGATATGAATTGTTTCTGGCAAGGCAAGAGCTGGACACATCAAGGTCAGAATGGCCCCCGTCGCATGACGACTGAATATATGGAAGTATGTTGGTGCTTTGATGCCGTGTCTACTGGTTGCACTATGAAGTATGTTGGTGGTATCTATTGGCTGCAGTCCAAGTGGTTGGACGACCGTTCTGATGTGCAGCTGCAACTTGGTGTACCAAATGCCGAAGGCCCGGGAGGAATTGCACATAATGTTGCGAATGCCTCAAATTCACGTTCAGCAGGAAATCGGCAGACTCGCCCTCGCTTCGCTCTGAGAGGCAGTGCAAAAAAATGAACTCATCGTAGCAACCACCGCTGCCCAAAGGAAGAGCCCCTGAAGCCAGTAATAAGGATGGCCCATGCTTCGAAGAGGAGGAGGAGGAGGCGGAGGAAGAGGAGGAGGAGGAGGAGGAGGAGGGGGGAGGAGGAGGAGGAGAGGAGGAGGAGGAGGAAGAGACGGAGGAAGAGGCCCGTCTAGGCCCTTTTCAAGTCGGCCTCCAGGGGCTCCAGGGGAACAGTATAAGCTTATCTACACTAGTTTGAACAACGAGGTATGTGTACACATATGCGTGCCATTAATACGCAAATCCCAACGACTAAGCACTGCGTAGGTTTAGCTACTAGCATCCAGCCCAATTCTATTGGAGCCCTCCCCCCAGCCTTCCTGGTAAGTGAAAACCAGCAGTAAGGACGGAAGCTAAAGATGCAGGACCTTTGAATGCGCCGGCCGCAAAGGCACCTTGGGTCGAGGAAACATCAAACTAGCCGAACGATGCAAGGGTACCCCCATCCTTATGTCCTCCTTTCTATCAACATGTACAGGTCTCGAACGGGGTCGTTTGTCTTCGTTAAGGCCTGGATCGGAAACTTCACCCGTAAGGCGAGCCCCGAACTGCAAATCCGTTCAAGCCCCGAAGTCTGTGAGTTGTGAGATCGTGCTTCTTTGAATCAATGTTCTAAGTGGGTGTTCACATCCGTAGCCGTTTTGGCTCAAGACCGAGATGGTCATTTTCAGTAAAGCAACGGCCTGCAACGACTGTATCGCCAACACCTCGCGCACACGTTCCACGAGATGTCACAAATGTTGGTTCTTACGTAATCGGCTGAAGCTGGAGGAGAAATTCTTGATCAAGCCAGGCGTTGTGGATGTAACGTGGATTCACTTCGAGTCAGACCCTTTTTCTGTGACTTGCAGCGTGTGCTCATCATGTAGCAATCGTGCTGGAGCCCTGTGGGGCAGCAGTGACACGAGTTTGACGATGCAGAAGATGAACAAACATCAAGAGAGTGACACCCATCAACAAGCTGTGCGAGAACTACTACACGACGTGCCAGACTACAGCGACCTAGCGCCCAGCGACAGTGACTTCAAGACCGTGCTTGACCGCGTCAGGAGAGCCCCTCCAGGCAAGGAAGGCGTCGAGGGCGTTGCTAAGGCGAAGAAGGTTCGCAAGATGATCTGGTGCCTGGCGGAGGCTCACCGCGCGATGAAGCGCAGACTGTGGCTCACCGACGGCATTGTTTCAACAACGATCTTCCAAGATGCGCGCAAGGGCGAGCTGACCATAAGGTTCACTGCAGCAAACTCAAACTTACACAGACGATCTGGACACATGGGTACCGTGGATTTGGCTGGCGAGTTTCGATTAGATGCGGTTGGGATTCAGGAAGCTACGTTGGCTGTCGTTGAACGCTTTGCCACGCCAAAGAGAAGGCCGCCATATGCACCAACACGTGAAGCAGCTGAGGTGGACGTGGATCTCTACCACAAGGTTATGGCGTCAATCGAGGCGTATACGAGCGATGCAGCTGCTGACGAAATACGAGCAGGATTCATGCTCGCTGGACAAACGGTTAGAGCAGATGCGGCCAAGGTCATGCCGAACCTCAGGATCGTCACGCGTGACAAACCACACGCGACAAGGCGGCTGGCCTCGCGAGGCTGGAAAGCGGACCCTTTTCTCGACGACGTCCAGGGCATGTTCGTATGGAACGAGCAGTCTCCAGTCCGGCTGATTCAGTTTTCGGAAGTATTCAGCGCTTGGTCCCAGGCTAATGTGCAAAAGATCGAGCCGCACCTCAAGGCCGCCAACCCCCACCAGGGCTGCAAGGACTTGCATTTCGCCCCGCACCGCTTCGACAGCGCCAGCAAGCCGATGAGCCGGTGCACCATCTACTTCCCTGCGTTGGTGGCGACAATGGACCAGATAGTTGCCAGCAGAAAAGGGAATGCAGAGGCGGTGGCGGCATCGACCTTCCTAGGTTGGCTGGACGACGAGAAGGCGCTCCAACTGGCGATGCTCGCCGATGCAGGCGACGAGCTATCAGACCTGTTGCGTCTACTCGACTACGAAGGTTTCCCACTCGAAGATCTTTCGTTCAATCTCAGTGCTTTCCTTGAGCGCCTGAACTATTTGTTCGTCGGCTGGGGCGGGCAGGCGCCTGCGTGTCTGGACGGGGGCTACACCAAGCACATGATCGACTTGCTGAGGAACCCGCTTTCGATCCCAGTGGCGGGCAGGTGATTGTTTCTTCAACGTTTTTCCCTTGCGTCGTTGCGTGCGTTCTTAAGTTTGGAGGCATTTTTGAACTTCTGGGGCCTCTTGGGGCTCTTTTGGGCCTTCTGGGGGCCTCCTGGGGCCTCTTGGAGGCCTCTTGGCGGCATCTTTGATCAGACGAGATAGCGGCCCGGGCAGGGCTGCAAGTTTCAGACGGAAATGTCGATCAGCAAATTTGGGGGGAAGACGTCGCACCCTGGGCACGCGCGGCTGGAAAGCTTAATGAGATGCACCCGCCTCCTCCTCCTCCTCCTCCTCCTCATCTTCCTGTTCCTCCTCCTCCGCCTTCTCCTCCTCCCTCCTCCCGCTTGTGCAATTCACCCCCGCCTCCTTTCACAGCATCGCCTCTCGTCGCTCCCTCCCCTGTTCCCCTGCTGAGTGCCCTTCCCTCACCCTGCCCCTTCTCCTCCTCGCCCATCCCTCCCCTTCCGTTCGTCGACCTGCTCATCTGACTCATCCCTCGCTATCCCTTCCCATCTCGCCTCCGCTACTTCTCGTTTTGCCCCCCCCCCCCCAGACATGTCCTCCCGCCCCCTCCTTTCGGGGAGGGGGGGCGGGAGGTGGAACAGTGGGGCTTAGGAACTGTGCGTAAATTCCCTACCTAGGCTCGGCGTAGAAGGGTTCTTACTCTGTTTGCTTAAAGGGCCAGGCAGTGGAAAGCGCCCCGGGCGGTTCCCCCGGTCCCTTGGGAGCGGTTCCCCCAGTCCCCTGGGAACTTTAACTTTAGCTTTAGTTTTAGCTTTAGCTTAGCTTTAGCTTAACTTTAGCTTAGCTTTAGCTTCAGCTTAGCTTCAGCTTAGCTTCAGCTTAGCTTTAGCTTTAGCTTAGCTTCAGCGTAGCTTCAGATTAGCGTTAGCTTAGTTTTAGCTTAGCTTTAGCTTAGCTGTAGCTTAGCTTTAGCTTAGCTGTAGCCTAGCTGTAGCTTAGCTTTAGCTTAGCTGTAGCTTAGCTTTAGCTTAGCTTTAAATTAGTTGTAGCTTAGCTTTAGCCTAGCTGTAGCTAAGCTTTAGCCAAGCTTTAGCTTAGCTTTAGCTTAGCTTTAGCTTTAGCTTATAGTTAGCTTATAGTTAGCTTAGCTGTAGCTTAGCTGTAGCTTAGCTAGTAGCTTAGCTTTAGCTTACATGTAGCTTAGCTTTAGCTTAGCTTTAGCTTTGGTTTAGCTTAGCTTTAGCTTATACTTAGCTTGGCTTCGCTTAGCTTTAGCTCAGCTTTAGCTTAGCTTTAGTTTAGCTTTAGCTGAGCTTTAGCTGAGCTTTAGCTTAGCTTTACTGTTACTACTAATGCTGCTTTCATGGGGGCCTCCAACTCCTAGGTAGGGTCGCACTGTGATACTTTGTTTCTCACCCTGAAGGTCGAAGGTTGGATCGTGCAGCGGGGTGTCCTTGGCCGCTCAGGCCAGGTGCCTCGCGAGGATGGGGAATTGGGTCGTGGTGGCAACGGAAACGCTGAGAGCGGAGTTCCCGTGGTTTGAGGTGGTTCAAGCATGGAGCGTCTTCAACGTCGTCGAGCGGGACCGAGACGCGGGCCATCATTCATTACGCGCGCGACGCGCGCAACGGCTTGAACAACTACAGCGGTTGGTAACGGCATTCGGACTTCAAGCAGATCCCGAACATCTTGATGACCAACTGCAAGGCTTACGCCACGTTGCCCTCCGGGTGGCTGCAGAAGAGCATCTCGAATCTCGGGACGCATGGGTTCGCGCCGTGGCCATCGCGAGACGGACCCGGATGGCAGGGTCCATGGGGTGTGGCAAGGACTTGCTGAGTTTGCTGGTCCGCTTCTGGGCATCTGGCGCCTCCACGAGCGGAGTTGAGCAGTCTTTTGCACAGATCGTGGGGTGCTCCGGCCCAAAACTCTGCATGGGCATGGGGGCCCTCGAGGACAGGATGGACATCTTGGACCTGGAGCTGATAGACGAGGACTCCGTCATCAACCTCGCCATGCAGCTCTGGTGTGAACACTACGGCTGCTCGCGCACGTCAGGGGCGCGACCGAAGAGGAGCGATACGGGTGGGACTCGACAGAAGAATCAGGGCGATCTGCCCACGGAGTTTGCCTTCTCGAAAGAGCGCAGAGCAGCGGCGACAGAAGCTTTATCCAGCCTCCCGACGCAGGACGTTGGAGCCATCACCGACACAGCGGGCGCCAAATGCATGGCGACATGGACCGACTCCCATGACAAGGAGATCAAGTTCGCGAATGAGAAGAGGATCAAGCGGATTGCAGAGGAGACGTGGGCTGGACGGGACCAGGCCTTAAGTAGTGCAACTGATGATGATCTTGCTGTGGTAGTAGCTACGCTGGAAAGGAAGGTGAAGACAGACAAGGCCTACGTAGCGCAATGCGCCAAACGGAGGCGCCTTCAGCAAGGCCCCACGCCGAGGTCCGTGGATGACAGCGCAGTGTACGTGGAGGCTGGTCTTCGGACGATTGACCTCGATAACTTCACAGGTGTATGTGCTAGCAAGCAGTTACAGCACGTAGTTTATGCCAAAGACGCATCTCTCTTTGTGGTAAAAGACATTGCCAATATATCTGCGACAGTGAAGTGGAACGCTGCATTGTGCGGTGGGACCATTTGTGAGTGGCCCTTCGTCCAGAAGGGGATCGGGCCATCGCTGGCCCTCCATGCGGGGCTCGCGTCGAGGCGCCTACTTTTTATGACAGGTGTGTTCGTGGCTGCACAGCCACGCCTTGCAGAAACTATCCTCGTTCGTATGGGAACGTTCCCCAATGCGAAGTGGAGGATCACAGAGAATCAAGCCTGGTTCACAACACGATCCAGAGCTGAACCTTCAATCGCCGTCGCCCTGATTGCAACTGGAGAGAACGCAGACACCGTGATGCCAGACGTCCGTCAAGCGTTCACCTCAGCCGAAGCGCTGGACTTCTTCTATCGTGTAGACGACCTGTCTTCAACAATCGGGGCTTGCAGCCGTTGACACGGGAGGCATGCATGTACATGCCGTGGGGTTGCTCTTCAACGAGCAAGGGTTGGCGCTGGAAAAAAAATATCCCAGTGTGACCCTACCTAGGAGTTGGAGCCCCTAGGAACGCAGCATTAGTAGTAACAGTAAAGTTAAGCTAAAGCTAAGCTAAAGCTAAGCTAAAGCTAAGCGAAAGCTAAGCGAAAGCTAAGCTAAAGCTAAGCTAAAGCTGAGCTAAAGCTGAGCTACAGCTGAGCTACAGCTAAGCTAAAGCTAAGCTAAAGCTAAAGCTAAAGTTACACATGAGCTGAGGCTAAGCTAAAGCTAAGCTGAAGCTAAACTAACGCTGAGCTAACGCTAAGCTGAAGCTAAGCTAAAGCTAAGCTAATAAAGCTAAGCTGAAGCTATGCCAACACTAAACTAAACCTAAGCTAAAGCTAGCTAAAGCGAATCTGAAGCTAAGCTAAAGCTAAGCTAAAGCTAAGCTGAAGCTAAGCTAAATCTAAGCTAAAACTAAGCTAAAGCTAAACTAAAGCTAAACGAAAGCTAAAACTAAAGCTAAAGCTAAAGCTAAAGCTCCCAAGGGACTGGGGGAACCGCGGGGCGGGGGCTGGGGGAACCGCCCGGGGCGCGTTCCACTGCCCGGCCCCTTTAAGCTAAGAGAGTAAGAACCCTTCTAGGCAGAGCCTAGGTAGGGAAAAAGTCCATGTCATACACCTCCTCCTCCTCCTCCTCCTCCTCCTCCTCCTCCTCCTCCCCCTCCTCCTCCTCCTCCTCCTCCTCCTCCTCCTCCTCCTCCTCCTCCTGCTTCTCCCCCTCCTCCTCCTCCTTCGTCTCCGCCTCCGCTTCCTGCCCCTTCACCGCCCTCTGCCTCGCTCCTCCACCGCCCCCCCCCCCACCCGCCTCCCACTCTCACGTTATCATCATCATTATCCTCCTCCTTGTCGTCGTCATCGTCAACATCATGATCATCATGATCATCATCATGATCATCCTGATCATCATCATCAGCATCATCATCATCATCATCATCAGCAAGCATCAGCATCATCATCATCGTCGTCGCAACCCTCCGACCCCCCCCTCCCCTCCTCCCCCTCGGCGGCTGCTCGGTCGGCCGGCGCCGCCCGGCGGGCCCGCCCCGCCCCCGCCTTATTACGACATCGACTTCACTCCGCAGACCGCGTCGCGGCGTGGGGGGGGGGGGAGGACGAGGACGAGGACGAGGATGAGGATGAGGATGAGGACGATGACGATGAGGAGGGGGAGGAGGAGGAGGAGGAGGATGAGGAATAGGAGGAGGATGAGAAGGAAGAGGAAGAGGAGGAGGACAGGAGGAGGAGGAGAAGGAGGAGGAGGAGAAGGAAGTGGATGATGACTTGGAGGAGTAGGATCACGCCCAGGCCCGACGGGCGGTGATCACGGTGCTGGTAGGGTCACCTGCGGAATCGCCCGAGTCTACGAGAGAAGGGTGATGATGATGATGATGAGGAGGAGGAAGAGGAGGAGGAGGAGGAGCAGGAGGAGCAGGAGGGGGAGGATGCGGACGCGGAGGAGTAGGAGGAGGATGATGAGGCGGAGGAGGAGAAGGAGGACGCGGGGGAGGATGATGATGACGAGGATGAGGACGATGAGGAGGATGAGTAGGAGGAGGAGGATGAGGAGGAGGAGGAGGAGGAAGAGGATGAGGATGAGGAGGAGGATGAGGATGAGGCAGATGCTTTCCCAAGCAGAGCTTGCCTCTGGGGGCCTAGCAGAGTCATAATTAGGTGAGCCCCGCCGCCGATTTCGGTGGCCATGCCCGGGTGCTCGGGTGGGGTGCCCTATAGCCCGATAGCCCACTAGCCCTATAGCCATATAGGCCTATAGTTCTATAGCCCTATAGCTCTATAGCCCTATAGCTCTATAGCAATATAGCCCTATGGCCCAATAGCCCATATAGCCCATAGAGCCCTATAGCCCAATATCCTTATAGCCATATCGCTTCATTACACTATATATAGCCCTATAGCCCTTGTTTTTCTCCCCCGCAGTCCGCGGGAGCCAACGTCGAAATCGCAACTTTCTACTCCTGGGATTTTGGCCCGCAGTGGCGGGGGTGCTCAAGCCTTTGCCATCCATCGAGATACATTCTACTCCCCCGCCCTCGCGGGGAGTAGAATGTATCTCGATAGATGGCAAAGGCTTGAGCGCCCCCGCCACTGCGGGCCATGCATCCCATGGCCCTGTAGCCCCATAGCCCTACAGCCCTATAGCCACCTACAGCCCTACAGCCCCAGCCCTACAGCCTTACAGCCCTGCAGCCCTATAGCCCAATAGCCAAATAGCCCCATAGCCCTGTAGCCATCATAGCCCTGTAGCCCTACAGCTCTACAGCCCTATAGCCCTATATCTAGCCCTAGCCTTATAGCCCTATAGCCCTATGATAGCCTTGTGGTCGTATAGCCTCATAGCCCAATAGCCCTGTAGCCCAATCGCCCTATAGCCCAATGACCCTATAGTCCTATAACCCAAACAAAACTCTGGTTGGGGGTTGTCTCCGGTGTTATTCATATATTGAATATATGACAACACTCAGGGGTTCAATGAACCCCTGATCAACTGAATTAGTGGCATGTCGGCGCCGGGGGCGCGCTAATTCAGAGCTGACCGGTCAGCTCTGAATTAGTGGCATGTCGGCGCCGGGATAATACAGGAAACACGAAAATGTCGGCGCCGACTTTTGGCAAGATCCTGGACGATGTCGGCGCCGACACCCCACTAATACAGAGCTGACCGGTCAGCTCTGAATTAGTAGCACGTCGGCGCCGGGGGTCCACTAATTCAGTCGAACTCTTGCCCACGGGGCGCCTTAAGGTTCTCTCTGGAACTACCCCATCCACCCTCCTCCGCCTCGTCCTCGTCCTCCTCCTCCTCCTCCTCCTCCTCCTCCTCCTCCCCCTCCTCTTAACTTAGTCTTCCTCCTCCTCCTTCCCAAAAATCAAACTCTTGCCTCTGCGGACTCTGGTTAGGTGAGCCCCACTGGCCATGCCCAGGTGCTCGGGTGCCTGGGGGTGCCCGGGGGTGCCCAGGCAGGTGCCCTATAGCCCTATCTATAACCCGATAGCCCAATAGCCCACTAGCCCAATAGCCTATAATAATTCTATAGCCCTATAGCTCTATAGCAATATAGCCCTATGGCTATAGCCCTGTTATAGCCCATAGCCCAATATCCCTATAGCCATATAGCCCTATAGCCTTATATCACTATAGCCCATATAGCCCTATAGCACTGCAGCCCTAAGCCCTATATCCTCATAGCCCTATAGCCTTAAAGCCCCATAGCCCCATAGCCCTAACACCCTATGGCCCTATAGCCCTACAGCCCTATCGCCCTAGCCCCATGGCCCAATAGCCCTAGCCCTACAGCCCTATAGCCCTTTAGCCCTATAGCCGTACATAGCCTTCTAGCCCAATAGCTCAATAGCCCAGCAACCCGATAGCCCTATAGCCCCATCGCCATATAGCCCAATAGCCCTATAGCCCTATAACCCCAACATAATTCTGGTTTGTCTCCGCACCCATTTTGGCTCTAGTAAACTTTGCATGACCTTGGCACTGGATCTTTTGAGATCATGGCACTGAGTACGATGTCAATGCAATTACAGATGGCAGACATCAAGGATGCTCCTGGTCAAGTAGTGGCCCATAGGAGGACGAGACGTCGCCCTGCAGCTCGGAGCCGAACCCCGCTACGCTCAAGGCCGGCCAACTACGGTTACGATATCACGTATGCCTCGGACTGCAGCGGCTTAGATGGCGGCGCGGCGGCACTCAAGCAGATGGACATTTCTTTTCGGCATGCCTTCGCCTCGGAGAAGAATAGTGTGTACCGTGCCATCACGGCAGCTTCGCATCCAGACGTAGAAATGATCTACAACGACATGCGGGATCGGCCACGAGACCAACTCCAAGACCGCCATGGTCACATCGACATCTATTGCGCAGGCTTCCCGTGCCAGTCTTTCGCGCCAAATGGCAACAAGCATGGTACTTCAGTTGAAGATGGAGCTCTAGTATGGGAAGTTGTGCGTACTATCGACGCTCTTCGCCCCACCGCCTTCGTCTTGGAGAACGTGAAGGCGCTGACGGAGGGCAAGTTCAGGAGGACATTCGACCGCATCATCTCCAGGCTCAAGGCCATCGGTGTCAATGAGTACTTCATCGACTGGAACATTCTCGACTCCTTGGATTTCGGCGTTCCCAGCAAGCGCGACCGCGTGTACATCATCGGGATCCGTGGTGCCTCATTGACCAGCTGGCAATGGCCTGAACCTGTACCTCGCAGACCTCTAGCCGACTTCCTTGACGACAAGACGGGCGACGACACGGCGATGGTCAATCTCAATTTCACGCAGCTCAGGAACCTAGAAGCGGGCTACCAAAAAATCCGAGATCAATGTGGCGAGTTCACGGAGCCTTTCGTGATTGACGTGGGATCGTCGCCGAGATTTGGCACGGGCGTGTCTCGAGACCATACGCCGACCATCACGAAGAGTCGCGCTGGTAGTTCCGAGTATTGGATTGTGTGCCGCAATAGGCTGATCACTACCAACGAGCTACTTCGTTGCCAAGGCTTCAAGCCCACAGACGTCACGATTCCCGACGGCGTGTCCACGAAGAAGCTCCAGGAGATGATCGGCAACGCCTTCACGGTGACAGTGTTCAAGGCCATCTTCAAGGCCATTTTCAAGGCCACTGGCCGTGCTCCCAACGGGGCACTTCGCGCCTGAGCTCGCGGGACTCAGCCGAGCCAGTGCGGATAGAGTTGGGGGGCCGCGTGGGCCTAGCAAAAAAAATATCCCAGTGCAGCCCCACCTAGGAGTTGGATCCCCTAGGGGGGAACAAAACATGAGCAGTGACGGTAAAGCTGAGCTAAAGCTCAGCTAAAACTAAGCTAAAACTAAGCTACAGCTAAGCTAAACCTACGCTGAAGCTAAGCTAAAGCTAAGCTAAAGCTAAACTAAAGCTAGGCTAAAGCTAAGCTAAATTTAAGCTAACACTAAACTAAAACTAGTCTGAAGCTAAAGCTACAGCTCAAACTAAGATACAGCAAAGTTAAAGCTAATATAACTCTAAGCTACAGCTAAGCTAAAGCTAAGCTATGGCTAAGCTAAGGCTAAGCTAAGGCTAAGCTAAGGCTAAGCTACAGCTAAGCTAAAGCTAAGCTAAAGCTAAGCTAAAGCTAAGCTACAGCTAAGCTCATATTCAACTAGAGCTAAGTTAAATCTAAGCTACAGCTAAGCTAAAGCTAAAACTAAAGCTAAAGCTCAAGCTAAAGCTAATGCTAAAGCTAATGCTAAAGCTGAGTCTAGGGGGCGCAACTGGGGGAACCGCTCCCAGGGGACTGGGGGAACCGCCCGGGGCGCTTTCCACTGCCCGGCCCCTTTAAGCTAGAGAGTAAGAACCTTTCTAGGCAGAGCCTAGGTAGGGAAATATCATCCTCCTCCTCTTTCTCCTCCTCCTCCTCCTCCTCCTCCTTCTCATTCTCCTCCTCCTCCTCCTCCTCTTCCTAGTCCTTCCCCACCTTGTTTTCCCCTCCTCCTCCTCCTCCTCACCATCATCGTCATCGCCACCATCACCATCGCCATCTGCCTCGAATTCACGTCGCCGTCACATTATCATCACCATCACCATCATCATCACCACCACCTCCCTCTCCCCTTCTACGTCGCCCTCCCACTCAGCGGCATCTACGTTGAAAGAGAGAGGCCCGACGGCTCCCCACCCCGACCCACTTACCCCACTTCCCTGTCAGGTCGCCTCGCTCGGACGCGGGGGAAGGCAATCCCCGCCCTTTCTTTCTGCTACTCCCCCACTCCCTCCTCCAGCCTCACCGCTCCTTTCCTCGTCCCCTTCCTCGCACCCTCGACCCGATCGCCACCCACCCGTAATTAGCCATTTTGGCTGTCTAGTTCTTTCAACCGAAGTCAGACAGACTCCATGCGGCATGGCCAAACGCGCTCCGGGAGCTCCAGAATCTGATCCACGGTCGAAGAAGGCCAAGGGCAAGGCAAAACCTCCGGCTCAAGTACAAGGGAACGCTCCAGCCGTCGGGCTCGTCGCGCCGGGGGCCACATGCATCAACGCAGAGTTTCATCACATGCTGAGCCAATGCGAGCAGAAGATCTTGAACCACCAGGTGTTCCATGATGTCTGCAACGGAGATCCCACTGGCGACTGCGGGACCCCCGCCTACGACGAGGGCGAGGCGGGTCGGCGGCTGCAGGCAGGACAGGACTATGTGGCGAGTTGCCCCTTATTCTGGCTCAACCTCCGCTACGAGCTCCAGCCGAACGTTCCGAAGTGCCGCCAACGCATCGAGAACTTGAAAGCCCACTTCTTCGGTAAGCCTGGGCCGATGCCTGGGAACGGGATAACAGTGAGCCACGTCATGGGCGAGGATCTACCCCATAAGCGCAAAGGTCAACTACGAGCTGTGTGTTCTCCAGAACTTCGTGACGCCCTACGCGTGGCCATCGCGGAGGACGTGGACACGGGGGACGAAGATAAGTTGAACGCCTGGGCCAAGATTCTCATGTCCATACCTTTTCGCTTCAAGGTCGTTCAGGAGGGGCACTACTTGAGCACGCTCTTCGAGGACGTGGTGCAGCAGCGCGAGGACATCGGCGTACTGCACGACAACACCAGGATGTCGGCCTTGCTTCGTTCATACGAAATCATTGACCTCAAGACCCAGCTCGAGGTTACTGAAGGCACTCAGAATAAGCACAAACTCGCGGACTACTACAAGAAGATCAAGTACTCCCCGACGTCCGAGGCCGTGTCGGTAACTTTCGTTGAGGCGACTCTCACGTTGCACAACAACGTGCTGTGCGTCCCAGAGGTGAGAGATGTCTGTTTCAAGTTCGACGGCATCGGCATCAAGAACCCCATGGACAGCGTGCACAAATACCGCCAGATCGCAATGGGCTGCGACAACAAGAAGGACCTCATGGTCTGGAGCTTCAACATGACGTGGGACTGGTGGAACCGCACCGATGGGAACGACTCGATATCAATCCGTATCTTACGAGGGGACGCCGCCGGCTGGGGCGGGGTGTCGCTGGTGAAGTTGTTCATCAATAAGCTGACGCTTCGCAACGCGCTCTGGAAGAAGATGGACGAGTTCAATTGGGACGTCAACGTGAAGGAGAGCATGAAAGATCTGACGAAGGACGTAGAGAGCTGCCGCTTGAAGCTAGGGTACCACGACGACCCCGACAAGGTCCCAGTCAAAGATTTAGCGGATCGGAGTTTGTGGCCAGAGAGCGCCGACAAGTTTTTGCTGCTGTTCGAGGTGCTCGTCTATGGCTACAGCTTGGACGTCATCATGATCAAGGCCATGCAGCAGAAGAAGGGCGTTGACGAGTTCTTGGAATTCCCCGAGGCTCCATGAGGAACGACGCAGGCGTAGATAGTTCCCTACCTAGGCTCTGCCTAGGATGGTTCTTACTCTGTAGCTTAGCTTTAGCTTAGCTTTAGCTTAGCTGTAGCTTAGCTGTAGCTGAGCTTTAGCTTAGCTTTAGCTTAGCTTTAGCTTAGCTTTAGCTTAGCTGTAGCTTAGCTTTAGCTTAGCTTTATGTTAGCTTTAGCTTAGCTCTAGCTTAGCGTTAGCTTAGCTTTAGCTTAGCATTAGCTTAGCTTTAGCGCAGCTTGAGCTTAGCTTTAGCTTAGCGTTAGCTTAGCGTAGCTTAGCTTAGCTTAGCTTTAGCTTAGCGTTAGCCTTAGCTTCAACTTAGTTTTAGTTTAGCTGTATCTTAGCTGTGACTTAGCTTTAGCCTAGCTTTAGCTTAGCGTCACCTTAGATTTAGCTTAGCGCTATCTGAGTGTTAGCTTAGCTATATCTTATAATTATCTTAGCTTTAGCTTAGCTTCAGCTTAGCTTCAGCTTAGCTTCAGCTTAGCTTAGCTTGAGCTTAGCTTGAGCTTAGCTTTAGCTTAGCTTTAGCTTAGCTTTAGCTTATGGCTAGCTTAGCTTTGTCTTAGCTTTAGCTTAAGTCTACTTTAGATTTCGATTTAACTTAGCTTAGCTTTAGCTTAGCTTTACTGTTCCTACTAATGCTGCTTTCCTGGGGGCTCCAACTCCTAGGTGGGGTCGCACTGGGATAATTTGTTTTATCACCCTTCAGGTTTACGCCCCCCCCCCCCCCCCCCCCCCCCCCCCCTCACATTTAAGCTTGTAACACTGCTTTCATCCCCCTCTATCCCCCTGTCTGCGTCTTTCCACCCCCGCCCCAAGGTTTCGAGCTACCTGCGGGCCGTCCAGGCCGCGTACGCCAGGGAGACCAGGAAGACGTCAGATGCCATGAGCGACGGGGAGGGCGAGGTCGGAGCTTCAGCACCCAGCGCCGTCGCTGCAACTGCGCTCGCCGAGAACCAGTCGGTAGTTCAGAAGATCCTCTCTTCAGCAAGCACGGACCCTTCCAATGTGACCGATGACGTGCTGCAAGAGGCCAAGAACTACTCCAAGAGCGCGGACCGCGACGTGAAGAGCGTTGTGAAGCTCGTGTCGGCCGCCACGTCCATGGATGAGCTGAAGGCGGCAATCCAGAAGACGTCGGCTTGCAAGGTGGTTGGCTCGAACAAGAAGCACGTCGCCATCGTCCTCGATGCGAAAAGACTCTGTGCGAAGCTGGCTCGCAGGCAAAGCGGCGCTCGCCTCCGACAAGGCCAGTTCAGCTATCAAAGCTCCTCGGCGCTGTCCTCGCCGCGCGGGGCCACGACGGCCAGCTCCACGAGAACGACGTCCTCATCGGGATCGATGGCGACAAGAACGACTTCGAGGAGAAGGTGGTCAAGGCTTTGGCGCCGCTAAAGCTCGACAACACGAAGCTACTCACCATCTACACGCAAGACTCGGTAGAGAAACGCTTGGATCGCCCGGGGGGCTCCAACGCGCTCACGCTCACGGAGACGGTCCACCTGATGACCACCACGAAGTTCCAGTGCAAGGTGCAGCCTCGCAAACTCCTGACGGGCCAGACTACGCGAGCAAACGTCCTCGGGCCCCTGGCGCACGCCAACCTCGCGGACAAGACCGTCACCTGGACGATCACGTGGGCAGAGAAGAAAGAGTTGCTAAGCGTGGACAACATGCCCTTGCCGGGGGGCAGGTGCGAGGGGTCAGATGCGGCATCAGCAGCGTCTGAGAAGACGGAAAAGGTGAAGCCGACTGATTTGGTTCCTGCTTTCTATCACGAGTCGCCCCCGTCGCTCTCGGTGGAGCTGGCGCACCTCGTGCAGGCCGTTGCCATAATAGACTTGACTCCTGGATCCGGCCATTGGGCCATGCATGCCGTTCGGCATCGCATTCCTTATTGCGGGGTGTGTTTCACGGAGAAACACGTGGCGATGTTGTACGAGAAGTTGATCAGCCGCTCGCTCGACGCGAAGCTTGACGCCAACGACAAGGACATGTACGACGCCTCCCTCGCGAGCATCGTGACGAAACACACCAAGGAGGGCAACGCGCCGAAGAAGATTTCGGAGACCACGGACCTCCCGAACACGCCAGCGACCAAGCCGACTCCGACGCCGAAGCCACCCGGCGGCGGCGCCAGCAGGGATGCGCTCTTGCAGAAGATCGCTGCCCTGAAGGAGCAGCAGCAGGCGCAGCCCGCTGATGCTGACGTGGATGAGTGAGTGAACGCCCATCAGCGGGCTGCTCTGAGCTACTGTGGCACGCGCGGTGCGGCCGCCGTGGAGACGGCGGCGGAGACCAGTCTTTCGAGTGAAGCCAGGCTGGCATCGGAGGCCAGCCGCCAGACAAAATAGTAGGTAACAAATATCATCGTCATCATCATCATCATCACCATCATCATCATCATCATCATCATGATCATCATCATCATCATCATCAGCATCATCATCACCACCATCACCATCACCATCACCATCACCATCACCATCACCATCACCATCATCATCATCATCATCATCACCCGTCCTCCTCCTCCTCCTCCTCATCCTCCATCACCTTCCTCGGCAGCCTCGTCGTCGCCTTCCTCGTCCTCCTCCTCTGGCTTCTCCTCACCAATTTCCTCATCGTCCTCCTCATCCTCCTCATCACCCTCCTCATCACCCTCGTCCTCGCCTTTCTCATCGTTCTCTTCTGGCTTCTCATCATCCTCCTCCTCATCGTCCTCCTCTTCATCCTCCCCATCATCCTCATCATCCTCCTCAGCACCCTCCTCATCATCCTACTTATCGTCCTCGTCCTCTCCTCCGCGGATTGCCATTTAGGCACGTACTCCTAAGCGGGGGCCAGCCTAGGGGGGCCAGGCTTCGGTCGCTGATGGCGCAAGTCGAGCCACCGCCCGCTAATCAGCAGCTGAAGGTTGATGATGCTACAACGAATGTCGCAGATACGTTGGCTACGGAACGCGTTTGGGGGCGCCCTGGGGGGCGGGGTGGGGAGGCGGGGGATGGGAATGGAGGAGCGGGCATATATGATATTTGGCCAGCCACAGGCCGCGAGACCCAGGATTATTGGATTCTTTAGCCCACGTATCTGCGATCAGAAGCGCACGAGTATCGAGATCGTCGACTTAACGGGCGGCGACCTCGTCGAGTACCCAGAACCGACTGAGCTGAATACATCAGCGAAGAAGACCCGCCGTGAGCCCCGTCTAGCGCCTACGTGCACGTGGCTTCCGAAGCTTAGGGACCGGCTAAGGAATGCCCGTTCCTCGCAGAGTTTCAACATTTAAGCACTAGCTCGGATTGCCCACCGCAGCGTCTCCCCAACGTGAAAAGTCAACGGTGAACAATATAGACGGATGGTGAGACATTATGAGTAGGACGATTGTCGTCACACATTGGGGAGAGTGTTGTGGGCGATCCGGCGCCATCATGGGGCGATGGTGCGTGCGAGATGCCAGCCAACGTGGGCCGTTGGAACAAAAAACAAGACCACTATGCCTCCAAGAAGACCGCCCGAGGATTGCCCAATATGCCTCCAAGACGGCCCCAAGACGGCCCCAGAACGCCACAGGACAGCCCCATAGTAGGCTTCCAAGACGGGCCACGAGGCTCCCAATATGGCTCCAAGAGGGGGGGGGGGCACCCAACGCATAAAGCCTCAACCCTACGACCCTAATACTGGCCCTAAACCTTAACCCCATCCCCCAAACCCTAACCCTAAGGCCCCGACCCTAGGACCCCCGACCCTAGGACCCTGCCCCGAACCCCGATATCCTAAACCTAAGACCCCAACCTGCTGGCCCGAAGGACCTAGTTGATAATAGCCCGATTTGGGCTCGAGCCTACATCTTCAAGACTACGGTTTTCATCTTCGCAATCTGTGCTAGAATATGCCCGTCGATGATGAGCTGCACGCTGAAGTGCACGTGGAGGCATACCCGAAGATCAATATTCGACTTTCTGAATTACCGACTGGATTTCACAGGCAAACAATCATCCATGTGCCGATCTTAGTAGACATCAGGAGCACAGCTGCGGACGGCGCCGAACACCATGAGTTTATGTCTCAGCTTGCCGACGGATCTGATGGCGGCCCGCCAGCAAAATCACAGAAAATTGAAGCTGTTGACTCATCTCCAGAGCCAGAGCCAGCAGCCGCATCCGAGTTGGAGAAGCAACCATCCGAGATGGAGAAAACGCAGCGGGAGCAAGAACCCCCATTACCGACACTGGAAGAAGGCTCGTCCGTGCAGTTCTCAGTCAGAGTTTCTGGTGCAAGGAGTTCTTCAGACGCGGCTGGTTCAGAGGCCCCTCCAAATGACCCTTTTCACGGGCTCGGTATTATGCCAGATGATTTGGTGGAGATGCCATGCGATTCGAATCCGCAGGGCAGGTTTTGAATACTGTTGAAGCAACGCCCAGAGTAGATGGCCACAGCCTGTGCCGGCACGCATTTGGCGTGCCTCGTGTCTCGGCACGCATTTGGCGTGTCGTCGTGGCGGGACCTAACGGACGCAAAGACTTGCAGTGGCGGTGTCGTTCACGGCGTCTGGAAACCCTGGGGCCCTCGGGGAACGAGCCCACGGCGCGAAATCATACAAGCAGTAGGGGGAGGGGGTCCTCCTCCTCCTCCTCCTCCTACTCCTCCTCCTTCCTCCTCCTCCTCCTTCCTCCTCCTCCTCCTCCTCCTTCGGGGTCGAGGGAGGGAGCGAGCGAGCGAACGAGAGACACTCCGCCCCCCTCAACCTCTCCGTCCTTCCCGCTGGCCGGCCAGCCGGCCCGCGCGCCGCCCTGCAGGAGGATGAGGAGGAGGATGCGGGCCGCTCAACGGCCTGAGGCGGCGGGTCCGCTCATTTCTGGGCCCCCCCTGGCTGGAACAAAGATGGTCCAAGACGGTCTCCAAGATGGCCCAAGAGGATGCCCAAAATGCCTCCAATATGGCCCAATATGGCCCCATATGCGTCCACGTCCGCCGAAGAAGCCTCCAGGAGGGCCCAAGACGGCTTAATTATCCCAGAGCGACCCTACCTAGGAGTTGGAGCCCCGAGGAGATCAATATTAGTAGTAACGGTAAACGCCATCCTCCTCCTTCTCCTCATCGTTGCAGTTGTAGCAGTAGCGGTAGTAGTAGTAGTAGTAGTAGTAGTAGTAGTAGTAGTAGTAGTAGTAGTAGTTGTAGTAGTGTAGTGGTGTAGTAGTAGGTAGTAGTAGTAGTAGTAGTAGTAGTAGTAGTAGTAGTAGTAGTAGTAGTAGTAGTAGTAGTAGTAGTAGTAGTAGTAGTAGTAGTAGTAGTAGTAGTAGTAGTGCAGCTTAACACATACATCTACATCTAGCCCTACATCCACATCTACACATACAGATACATCTACATGTACACATGCATCTACATCTACATCTACATCTACATCTACATCTACATTTACATCTACAACTACACTCACATCTACATCTATATCTACATCTACACCTACATGTACATCTACATCTACACCTACATCCACAGCTACACCTGCACCTACACTTAAATCTACATCTACACTTTCGCATTGGTGTTGCTTGTGCTTTGCGTTGCCTTTGCCATTGTTATTGCCTTTGCTTTGGCCTTTGTCGTTGGTTGTGTTTTGCTGTTGTTTTTGCTATGATATGCTGCGCTATGCTATGCTATGCTATGTTATGCTGCGCTATGCTGCGCTATGCTATGCTAGGGTGTGCTAGGCTGCGCTATGTCACGCTAGGATATGATATGCCATGCTATGCTGCGCTATGTTATGATATGCTATGCTATGCTATGCTGCGCTATGACTTGCTATGCTATGTTATACCGCGCTCCGTCATGCTAGGCTATGATATGCTATGCTATGTTATGCTAGGCCAGGCGATACTATGCTATGACATACTGCCCTATGCTATGCTATGTTATGCTGCGCTATGCTATGCTATGATGCGCTGTGCTATGCGATGCTGCGCTATGCTATGTTATGACATGATATGCTATGGTATGACATGTTGTGCCGCGCTATGATGTGCAAGGCTATGATATGCTATACTATGCTGCGCTATGCTATGATATGCGATGATATGCAATGCTATGCTAATGCTAAGCTAAGCTAAGCTAAGCTGAGGTAAGCTAAACTATGCTAGGCTAAGCTAAGCTGGGGTGAGCTAGGCTAGGCTAGGCTAGGCTAAGCTAGGCTAAGCGAAGCGAAGCTCAGCTAAACTGGGCTAGGCGAGGCTAGGCTAAGCTCAGCTAGTGTTTAAGCTTAGTTCAGCTAAGCTAGCTTATATGGGATAAGCAACGCTAGGCTAAGTGGACGTAGCTGGTGGAACCGCGGGGCGGATCCTGGGGGAACCGCCCAGGGCGGGGATCACTGCCCGGCCCCGGTCAGACAGAGAGTAAGAACCCTCTGGGCAGAGCCTGGGTATGGATAAACACTATGTATGGTTATGAAACGGGAGAAAAACCCAATCACATTTTTGCTATAGGGCTATGGGGCTATAGGGCTATAAACAAATAAAGCAAATCAGCTCGGACGTAGAGATGAAAATGGGGTGCACGAACATGCACGCCGCCACCTGGCGGGCGCACGGGGGGGGGCGAGAGGAACAATGGCGAGACATATGGCAGGAGCGGGACGGGGCCCAGAGCGAATCGGGGAGAGATGTGGTGAACTCTGACATGTGAGAGAAGAAAGTGACGGGGAAATGGTGGAATGTGGGAGGAATGATATCGTCGATGGAAGATGGACGGGGGGGGGGGGAATGGGCAATGATGGGTGCGCCCCTGGTATTTATCATGTTTATATATATATATATACATGTGTAAGCATGTGTGTATACATCTGTGTATATACACAGATGCACACACACGCTTACATATGTATAAACGTATATATGTATGTGGCTGGATGTACACACGCACATGTACATACTCGTATGTGCATCTGAAATTCTGAGATACATATAATGGGTATACGCGACGGCATTGTATCTATATATGATAGATATAGTGCATATCATACCTAGATCAGACCAAATATATGTTCCCAAATACATAGATTGGGCGATATATATATAATCATATATAAATACATATATATATATATATACACATATATACACATATATATATATATATATGTATCCAAGCCGCCTTAACTCCACGTGACCTCATGGATCACAGGCAACGC